CATTGGTATCAGAGCCGGGTTGTGCTCGAGCTAGCCTGATGATTGGCTAGGAGGCGGGTTGAGTACTTGGGCCAGAAGTACTCAGTTGAGGGGGAGCATATCAATGTTGAGTTTCACACTTGAGGGGAAGATTGTTGAGATATTCAAGTGTGATGAGTCCCACATTGGTTGGTAATGGGCTAAGTGAAGAGTATATAAGTGGAAGGGACCCATGAACCCAATGCCTTAAGGTTTTGGGTTGAGACGTGGTGTCAGACCCACTTGATGTACTCGGTGTAGCTTAGCTCATTGGTGGTGGCCCTCCGCCACGGGCTTCCCTCTGGACCTGCCTGACAATTATTCCAGCCAAACACTCGTAAAGTGCCTTCGTGGTAACCCTTGTGTCACCTTGTAGTGTTCATCGTTTCCTATCACTACCATCTTGAGGATCTGGAGGAAGAAAACTCTGTATACTGAGCACCATTAAGGCTAGAAGCCATTGTCTAAGGGATTTTATGTCCCATTGACCCACGCTGTTAACATACTATGTCTTTCTCTTTTGCAAATCCCTTGCATGGGCGACATGTGTGGCATGCTCAAGGAGGTTTCGATCATCATTTTGCCATGTGTCCTGCCAGAATCTAACTAGATTGCCATCCCTTAATTCCCAAGCGCTGTTACCATCAAAGTACTCCCAAGCTCCCATATTTTACAAATATTCACCCATTCGCGATAATCTCCTTTCCTAGTGGTGAACATTTCATGGCCTTTGTTCACATTGCAATATTTACATCGAACTAATTGCACCCATAGCGATTCCTCATATGTGTAAACTCTCCAATCAAGCTTTGGAAGGAACACATTGTTCATTAGAGACAGCCTCTTAATCCCCAACCCTCCCCCTATCACCTTCGACTGAGTAATGGTGTCCCAGTTGATAAGGTGGAGACATTGCTTATATGAATCATCCCCCCAAATAAAATTCCTTTGCAGTCTATCCACTCGATCACATATAGTTAACAGATTTTTCCCACTCTGCATATGGAACGTGGGTATATATAGACGATAAAATTGTTTGGGATAGGGTGATCTTGCCCGCTTGCGTTAGACTTATACCAAATCACTAGCTGCAGAGATGGCATCAGCTACGACCAGAGACGGATCTAGGTATTAGAGAGGGGGGCAAGTGCCCACCCTTAAAATATGATGTAAAAATAAAAAAATATTCTTATCTTAAAATTTAAATTTTTCCAATTTAATTTTGGGTAAGATATTGTAACAATCAATTAGGGTTACTGCCAATCAATTTCACCGTTAGATCAATTATGTTGATCCAACGGTTATATTTATTTTTATCTTTGTATGATTATGATTCTCCATATTTAATACTTTATATTTATTTTCACCTTTGTATGGTTATAATTTTTATTGTATGATTATGATTCTCCATATTTAATACTTTATATTTATTTTCACCTTTGTATGGTTATAATTTTTCATATTTAATACTTTTACATTAAATATGGGGATCATAACCATACAAAGATGAAAATAAATATAATCTTTGATCAACATAATCGATCTAACGATAAAATTGATTAGTAGTAACATTGGTAGTAACCCTAGTTGGTTGTTACGATACCCACCCCTTTAATTTACCTCATTTTATTTTATTTTCCCGTGAGTTTTTTTTCTCCTCCATCTTCATTATCCAAACCTAACAGCAAATAGCTCTATTCCAGACACATCGTTTGCATCTACATACTGATTCATCTCCTCTCAAATCTCAACCTCCGTTATTAGAAGTTTAAACATTTGCTTCTTCCTCTATCATTGATCCAGTTGAGTCGCAATCTGTCCAGATCTAGATCTAAACCAAACCCGGCCGGCAGCTGCTCGCAAGTCGCGTTCAAGACCAAATCCAAATCTACATGTACTTGAACTTATTGAGTGCCCACCCTTCATTAGTTTTCTAGATCTGCCACGCGCTACGACATTCAGTGTGTTCCTCGAGAAGAAGATGGAAGTTTTTTGTATGCTAACCCTTTGCCCTGAAATCTCAACAAATAACAGGAGACATTGCAACATTATCTGGAGCTATGCTTGGCTAGCCCCTGCGAACAATATGAGATCATCGACAATAATTATACGTGAAATCCTTGGACTACCCTTCCTTGCTTGAATCGGTTTCCATAGAACACTATTAACAACGGTGTTGATGATATATGTCAATATTTTCATTACAAAGAGATATGGGATAAGGGATCCCCTAACATACCCCCGTGTTGACTTGAAATCGCTGGTAACATGACCTCTTTCAAATAAGGGTTTTATAATTCTCATTCAACATGAGAATTCAAATTTTCCTACACACCCTTCGATTTCTGTGCTGACATGGGTCCTACATATAATTTTTTCTAACACATGGGTCCCACATGTTTTTTATCTCTACAACATGAGAATTGAATTCTCATTCAACATGAGAAAATCAAACCCCTTCAAATAAACTTAAAACTTCTTAAAAGATAAGTAATGTTATATACAATTTTATTTTTTAATTTAAGTTCTATATAATCATGGAAGGATGCTATGCAACACAAAATGTATCAAAGTTTTCAATAAAGGCCACACAACATGAAAAATATATAAAAAAAAAATTTAAAAGCAATTTCTTACCAAAGAAAAAAATTGAATATATTATCTTCATATTAAATTTATAAAGGAACTTAGGTTACAAAAATATTTATAGATTAGATTGAGAAAAATAAACAAATTACAAAAAAAAAAAATTACAAGCACACACAGTATTTTACTTATAAATTAACTTATTATTATAAAATATATGAATTTATTTTAAAATAATTATAAATATTGTTGTAAAGGCATTGTGCATTGCCCAATCTAAAAGGCTAATTTTATGATAACTTGTATATTTTATTTTATTTTTCATTCTTAATTGAAACTCTCTTCAATTACCTTCTGATTTGTTTTACATCTATCAACGCCAACGGACTATGGACAAAATATTCATGAGATCATACTTCAAATGTTATTGACAAATCTGATATTTATAAATAGGATTAATGTTTCTCATATTGTATGAGATACAATTATTTCTTATATATATATATATATATATATATATATAAAAATGTGTAGGGCCCATATTTTTTTTGTCTTACTCTTTCTCTTCTGCTCATATGGCCTCACATTGATCTCACATATTTTTAAGTATATGTAACATGAGAAACATTAATCTCTTATAAAAACTATAAAAAATAATTGTTTCCGAAGGTATTGTTTTCTTATAACTTACATAATTATCGTTAAATTTCTTAAACATTTTTTTTAATTTGAAATTTTTTATTTAAAAAAACACATACGTGACCTTATTTTTTATGCATTTTAAAAAATTTCTTTAAAATGACTGTCTTTACTTTTTTTTTTTTGGAGTTACCCAATCCTAATTATCTCTTTGAGACGAGTTGGCTCCCTCCGGTATCCCCACGAGCTTCGACTCTTTGAGCCGGCTATGAAACTAATCCGGAGTGCGGGAGAACAGTGATGGCTAAAAGTTCAGCCCCCTCCCCAAGAATGCATTCAGAATGACTGTCTTTACTTGCATTTCATTTGTTTGGCCTTGCATTTCATTTGTTTGGCTAAAGGATTATTTTAATGCGGTTATTTTATTTTGTTTTATGCAATATTTTAATTTTTTTTTCAAGTAATGTACATTCCAACATATGACCAATGTGATTTAAAGAGTCATGTACCTCATTCATGTGGCACTAGTTGTAAAGAATCTTGAGATACATTACCTCAAAAGCTAGCTCAAAGGGTGAGAGTACCTAAGACCTTATAAAGGCCACATTAGTTGTCCACACAATCAATGTGAGACTATATATCTCAACAACTAGTCCCATATATCTCTGATGTGTTGTATATTTGAAAAAAAATTTACTATGATTTAACCGTCACTAATTTCGTAACAGTTCCGCCTAATCTTAGGAAATTAACCATGTTTAAATTATGATTAATTTCAGTTCAAATAATCCGTTCATCTTACCGCATGCCACATGTGACAGTCTCGCTAGTTTCAATGGACGGATGTGGGATTTAGTGTACTACATTGTTAATATATTTGAAGATTACATTATATAAGGTATTAGTTTTGATTTAGTGGTAAAGATTTGGATAGTTTATATTAAATTACGTGTTCAATTCTTATTCGTATAAAATAAAAATTACATAAAAATTCTTAAATAATTGTTTATCTCTTTACTTGTATTCTTGTAATAACCTGAAATGTTCACGTTTATTCCTTTTCCATTCACAATTCATTAAATATGAGCTCAGATTTATTTATTTTTTGTTCAAAGAAAAATATTAAAACATAACGCGTAAATGAAAGAGAATAAACAAACGATGAAGCCATTAACAATTAGAAGTCAAGTTAATAAAAGGTGGTGTAACCTAGTGCGTCTTTTATACGTCCCGCGAAAAGTCTCCTTGACTTTCTAATTAAAAAACGATGGAGTAATGAGTGATATGTCTTTCCATATTTTTTTTTTTAAATATTCATCTCCTCTTCCATTTTTAACTATAAAGAATCATTTTAATTTTATCAAATTGGCCAAAAAAAAAAAAAAACACCCACAAACACATGAGGTACATGCAAAGACCATAGATGATTTTTTGATAGTTACCATTGCAAAGTTTGAATACAAAATTAACATTTCAACAATATTAGTCATTGTACAATGAAATAAAACTATCTGAATAATATTTCTGTAGTTACTGTGAAAAAGTTATCTGTATTTACTCTCAAAATGATATCGTTTTGTTATTGAAAAATTAAATAATTATAATTATAAATACTATAATAATACTAAAATAAATTAAAATTATAAAATATCATGATTTTTGCCTCAAAACAACATCGTATTAGTCTATTTGCAGATACTCTGCAGTAATTGCAAAAAAAACGAACCCTAAAACTATTTACAACAAATGATCATGATCTCATTTTTTACTATTTTGCTAGTAGATTTCAAATGAGATATTTTTCTTTTCTTTTTTTTTTGCCAATAAATGAGATCAATTCAGCGTCATCATCTTTGCAAATTCTTCATAGCTAACTTGACCATCCCCATCCAAATCTGCCTCTCTAATCATTTGTTCAGCCTCATCATCTGTCAGTCTCTCTCCCAAATTCATCATTACATTTCTCAGCTATAAAACAATAAAAAGTAGCTCTTTTTGTTATGATATATCCCAATACAAGAAAAGTGCAAATTTGCAAATTCATATGCATAGCATGTTTACCTCAGCGGCTGATATGTATCCATCTTGATCTCTATCAAATACTTTGAATGCTTCTTTTAGCTCCTCAGCTAGATTTTCCTGTTAAATTTGACATTAACATCATTAGCCTCGTAAAGCTAATTAACCTTTAATAATTGATTCCCTTTTCTTTCAAAGTATAAACTTTGGGGTCTATGCAATGACTAGTTCTGTATATTACCTTCATTTTTCTGCCCATAATATTCAAGAACTCTTCAAAATCTATACTCCCATCCCCATCAATATCAACTTCGCTAATCATATCTTGTATTTCTTCTTTTGTTGGATTCCCATCTAATGATCTTATTATGGTTGCCAGTTCATCCACAGTAATGACACCTAAAACATCACCAACAATTGCAGCATGTCAAAAACATTTGGAAAAGCTCTTTACACATGCATGAAGATGAAATTGAAGAAACTAAGGAACAAAAAAAAAACACACCATCAGAATCCTTATCAATGAAGCAAAACGCTTCCTGGAATTCAGCAATCTGATCTTCTGTCAGTGCATCAGCCATTTGTTGTTCTGCAGATTCAAATGAAGTAGTTGCTTGTTGCCCAATGGAGTGGTTAGAAAGAAAGAATGAGCAATGTGTTACACTGTTATCTCCTTTGAGCCATTTTGCTTATATAGATGTGTCATGTGCCCATTTTTGTTTTAATAGTCAAAGATGATTGATGGAGAAATTCCAATTCAAAAAACAGGAACTTTTCCAGAAGGGCGTCGAGGCTATTAAATGGTGAATTTCAATTGAGACTTTGTGTGTGGTCCCAATTATTCATTGTCAGAGTCAATGTAAACATGACTCATCAACCTTTTTTTCCCGACACATGCTTATGTACGATGTAAATATATATACTAGGTATGGAATTGCGGACACGCTAGCCTTGTTATTATGAAGTTCAAATCAACCCACTATCATGGAAATTTGAGTGAAAAAGTGGTAAAACAGCTGAAAGATACAAAAAGTATATGTTTATATATAAACTGCATTTTGAACCTTTAAGTTCCATGACGAAGCGTGTTGAATGTTGAATGCATTCATTAAGCTTGACTTGGCTTTGTAATTTTAAGAGAGTAATGCCTTAATACAATAACTAGGTTGTCATTTAATACAATTACTTAAATGTAACCGCGTTGTACTGAAAGTGGCGACTATTGAATATTGACTGTCACTATATTATAAACGAATTTAATTATGATACTGTGTAAAAATATGTTTAGGACTAATACACAATCACAATTATAGTTTATTACATGACTTACATTATATAATAAGATTCACATCTTATATAATTGTTAATATAGCTAAATTCAATAAATAGTGTGTTAACACACAACTAGATGATATTATGAAAAAGTTTCACACTAATAATCTAAAGATTTTTACAATATTATTTAATCAATTAAAAATTATACAAACATTTAACAATACTTAATTACGTGTTGCCGGATCCATAAATAGTGTGATTTTTTTTTTTGTTATTAATAGTGTGAATTTTAAGTTAGTTATTGTATGAGTCAAAAAATAAATTAATAACATATGCATAATTGAGTAATAATATAACATTGACAGAGCGTTAAAGTTAATTTCGTTAAAAAGATATCAAAATTTCAACTTTCAAGCTCTTACGTATGTGTGTGCGCCAGATAAGAAATCAATTGACCGATGTAAGTTGAATTGACTTCTATATCATCAAACAAGGTTTTATTAGACTTTTTTTCCCAAATATATATATATATATATATATATATATATATATATATATATATATATATATATATATACCATTGAATTCAAAGTCCTAATAAACTAAAGTTATAAATTTTCATATTAATATAAAGCTATTTTTCATATATTTAAATCGTTACTTAAAAACTCTACACTATCTTAATCCTTAAGATGTATTATTTTAAACTAAAAAACAATTATATATAAATAGTTTTTTTTTACATCGGTCCTAATTATTTCTTTCACGAGTCGATCCCTAATATTCTTACAAGTTTTAATTCTTTGGACTAAACACATTACAAAAATGAAGAGAATTTATTAGGATTTGTAAAAGAGAACTTGTTTGTCATCGTGTTAGAATTGTCAAACAACACAAGGTTATAGAATTGGAAAGGCAAAGGAAACAAAAATCTTCAAGATGCAGGTGTGGTGCGAAAATGCATATTGCCAAAAGAAAATTTGTTTGTGAGCGTAGTTACATATTTATTGGAGCATATTAATTGGACATTTGGGCCTTCAATTCGAGCATGGGCAAAATGAGAAGAATTCATGCTGGAATCTTAGGGCCGTTTGGTACGAAGTACTTTTTTTGGATTCTTGGAAAATTAAATTTTTAAAAATTTTAAATTTTTAAATATTATCAAAAACTGAATGTAAAAATCATATTTTTGAAAATTAAGATTCTCGGGTAAAAAAAAATTTCTCGTGTATCTAAGGTAATTTTTTCCTTTTTAGGTCATTAAATTTCCTATATTTTCCAACTTAAAAATATTGTATTCAATTTATTATTGGACCTATTGTAGCACGTATAACCGTGTAAAATAACCAAAAAAATTGAACTGAATTATGAACTAGACTGCATTGTATTTAAAATAATTAATTTTTTTTTTGGATACTAAAATAACTAATTTTTAAAGAGCCAATTCAAGAACAAAATTGATTTTTATAAACTAATTCAAGAAAAGAACTGATTTTTAAAAATCAATTCAAGAATTCATTAACTGAATTATGTTTTTCCTTTCTCTCTCTATTTTTATTTATTTATATAGTGATTTCTTTTATATTTATTACTTTATTTTTTTTATTTTTTTTTCAAAATAAATTTGACCCAAACTGATTCTGAACCAAATTGTTTTCAAACCACTGAAACGAACCGATTAGGGTAAAAAAAAATTCGATTCTTAAACCAATTCGATTCAATTATTTAAAGAATTCAGTTTAATACCACCTGTACATGACCCTAATAAGCTAATAGAACTGCCATTGCTTCCATTCAGGTGATTCTGAAAAAAACTGGGTGGATAAGTTAAGCAAGAAAATGATGGGCCTGTCCTTTACATTATTGGGCCACAATTAACCTAAGGATGAGCATTGATGGCCCAAATTCGGTTCGACACAAAGCTAAGGAAGAACCTCCTTTGTTGTTGTTAGGGAGACAGAGCTGTAGCCTCCTCCATTCATGGTGAGTTTCTTTCTCTGCTAGCACCGTTAGAACCATTGTGAAATTTGTAACCCTCAAGATCTGTTGTTAGAGTACCTTCCTCTTCTATGTTCTTTTTTGTTTCCTCTTTCGCTATTTCTGTTATAATTCTTCTGCTCTCTGGTTAGATAGTTACTACCTCCCTTCTAGACGCGAAATGCTGTTTCCGTTTAATATTTCGATTTAGGTTTTTGTAGATTGCATTGCGAGGAACTTAAATCTGTTATAACACATTGAATGGACAGTTAGGGTTTAGGGTTTAGTTGCATTGCATCTGCGAAAATTAGGGTTTAGGTATTGGTAAGCAGCTTCGCTAGTTCCGTGCATTATAATGTCATGATTTTAATCGTTATGTAATTACAATGTTCAAGACTGGTCATTTGGACTATAGTTTCTACTTGGTATACAGACTTATAACTTGTTTTGAACATAACACGTGTGGAATATTTTGACAAAATTTCTGTGTTTGATCCACAACAATGTCTCTCTGTTTTAATAGACTGACATGGCCATGGCATGCTCTATGTAACACACCTGGGACGTTGCTGCTGATTCTTGATTGATTTCTGACTCTAATTTACGTCTGGAGCATCTTCTTAGGGAGGTGATGAGTCTGGACAAGAATCCTCGTGTATTTTTTGATGTCTCGATTGATGGGGACCCTGTGGAAAGAATTGTTATTCAGGTAATAAGAAAAGCGGGGATTTTCTAGTTTACGATCTCTTTGTCATCATGTTCTCTGTTTTGAAAGGATATTTGAAGTTTACCTCAGCTTCCTAGGTTGGTATTTATGTACTCTTTTGAAATGCTGCAGCTTTTTGCCAGTATAGTTCCTAAGACAGCTGAGAATTTCCGGGCGCTTTGTACAGGTATGTTTATATTGTTCAAATAATGTGTCCTACTGTCATCTGTTTTTTTAATAGTTTGGTTGTTGCTTGGAGAGCATACACTTCCTATGAATATTGGGTAATGTTAGTCTGTGGAGCTTCTTGTTGACCAAGGACATTTGATCTAGCATTAAGATAGATGCTAGTTTGATTGGGTTTAGGAAGTTATCTGTTTCCTGGGTCAATGCACCTGCCCTGCTTAACTTAAGGGCAAAATTCCTAAATTCACATTTCCGCACAAATGTTAAAAGACATAATCTTGCTCATTTTAAACTTTATCTTCTGAAAACTTGGGGTGAAAGAACCAAAGCATTTTGAAATTATTTATGTGTAATATCTTCATAGAAGTTGATCTTGTTGCTTCTTTGTCATATTGAATATGAAATTTTATACAGTTTGTGTGTATAAGATATTAAAAGTTAACATGCAGTTGACGTGGATATATCAAACTAAAAGTGATAAAAATGTATATTATTTAAAGAGGATGATTATACTTGCAACCTCCTACAATCATTTTGTTATTAAAAACCACTCCCCGTTAAACCCGACCAACGAGTGTGGGGTGGAGGAAATTCTTGTACGCAGCCTTACCCTTGCATAATTGCAAAGAGGCTGTTTTCTGGATTCGAACCCATGACCTTTCAGTTATGAAGGAACAGTTTCCTCCTACAATCATTTTGTTATTGTTAAATCAAAATTAAATCAATTGTTCTCGGTTGATGTCATTTTGTTACCATTGATTTGATTTTGATCTAATGATAATGGCAATGGTGTGATTATTGAAATGTTGCTATGCTTTTGTATTAATTGGTTCTTTCCACTTCCTACTGTGCTTTTACTGTATTTGTGCTGTTTTTTTTTTTTTTTTTGTAGGTGAAAAGGGCATTGGAGAATCTACTGGAAAACCTTTGCATTATAAAGGGACAACTTTTCATCGTATAATTAAAGGTTTTATGGCTCAAGTGAGTAACCCTTCATGGTTATTGTATACATGATTGTCATAAGCTAATTATGTAGGAGAAAACTTGTTACTTTGCGTATGAGTACTATGTCAACGTGTGAGTTAGCCTGTTGCGCAATTGCAATAGTGAATTCTGTTTGTAAAGTTGTGCAGAAGGGAGGGTGCCAACAGAAGTTTTGGAGTTAGCCATTGCCTTTTGCCTTATTTTTGGCAACTGGCAAACAGATTTAGTATTTTATAGTTCTCTTCTTTCAGTATATGGTATTTCACTAATTTTTGTTCTCATTTCCTGACAGGGTGGTGATTTTTCAAAGGGTAATGGTATGTTTTTTGGTTTCTGTTGTTTACCCAATTTGATCCGTAAATTTCCTCTTTGACTTCTATATCCTTTACCAAGACTTGTAAGGAATGGCCTTTGACTGGTTTACAGGCACTGGTGGAGAAAGTATATATGGAGGAAAGTTTGCAGGTAAATTTACCTTTTATGAGCGGAGGATTCTATATATTATACATTTGAAAAAAAAGAAAAGAAATCTTGCTTATACATGGTTGACTACTTTCATGATTAATCATTTGACTATATGTGCAAGTACTCCTTCTTTGCAGATGAAAATTTCAAACTAACACATGAAGGACCCGGTTTTCTTTCTATGGCAAATAGTGGTCCTAACACAAATGGGTCTCAGTTCTTTATTACATTCAAGCGCCAGCCTCATCTTGATGGGTATACAGGCTTTGCATTTTTTTTTTTTTTTTTGTTGTGTTGCTGCATCAGTTGTTGTCTATGCAGCCTTGTTTTTACATTCTCATTTGCTCCAAAAGTTTGGGCTTGTTATGTTGATAATCTTTTCTTTTTTAAGTGGTGAGGTTTGTTCAGTGAAGTCTTCTGCATGATGTTGCAGGAAGCATGTTGTTTTTGGTAAAGTTGTCAAGGGAATGGACACTCTGAAGAAAATTGAGCAGGCGGGAACATCTGATGGGAAACCTACCCAACCAGTTAAAATTATTGATTGTGGTGAAATGTCTGAAACAAAAATTCAGCTCACAGTCGAGAAGGAGAAAGGTACTTGTGATAAGGATAGACATTGACAAATATATTATAAACCTTGTTGCTTCTATATGCTGCTAAGTGCAATTGTTTTTAATGTATAAACTGTATCTCATTTTAGTGAAAAGGAGAAAATCAGGGAAATCCCTAACTTCTGATGATAGTTCTGACAAAAAATCAAGGGTAAAGAGAAAAAAATCTTCCAAAGACACAAGGAAGAAAAGGAGGAGATACTCAACATCTGATAGTGATAGTGGTAGTGATAGTTATTCCTCAGATTCTGAGTCAGATTCAGCTTCAGATTCTGAATCGGATTCTGATTCAAGTTCCTCTAGTTATGGGAAACACAGGAAGAGGAAGAGAAATAAGCGCAAGCATGGGAAGAAGAGGAGAATTGGACGTAAGCAGAGAAGGAAAAGCCAGCACGGTAGAAGCAGAAGATCAAGACCCAAGTCCAGATGGTCTGATTACAACTGGCCTTTAGCATGGCCCCTTTTCCTATAGTGCTTCTGCCTCAGTAAGAATTTGCCTGATATCTTCTTCAATTGAATTACTTTCCCTTTTTCAGGAGCTCAGATGGTTCAAGTGATAAAGAAAGTGAGAGATCTAGTGCTAGGGGCAGTAGTTCTGGTGATGAGAAAGCTGATCACTCTGGTCGTAAAACACATGCTGACAATAATGCACAAACAAATCTAGGTGTGCTATTTGTATAATTCTTTCGAATATATCCTGCATCCTCCCACCTCACCCTTTTCTCTAATACATACTCAGATGTGGAATAGAGGGGAGTACAAGGATATTTATGAATACTGTTATGTTGACATTGCTGTCTAAGCTAATTACTGCTCATGCTACAGACACAGGAAAGCAACCATCTAGCCCTCCCCCACAAAGTCAAACTATTCCAGAACAAGGAATGGATCCCAAGGTTAAAAGAACTGGGGACAAGCAATCACATGAAGAAGGTGAATTGTCTCCAGAAAATGGTGCATTTCTGAATAACGGGCATGATACTCAAGCTGAATTTAGTAAACCTTCTAAGCAACATGCTTATTCAGATGATTCGAATCACAATAGGTTTTGCCTCTTGGCTTTCTTAGCATCTAATTATGATTCATCTTGTGATGTAATTTTTGCTTCAATTTGAATGTCAACTCCATTCTGGCCTTTGGATACATCTCCAGTTCTGCTAAGTTGGTGTGATGTCATATTTGTCAGAGGTGCAAGTCCTGGAAGAAGTCCTGCTAGGAGTCCTACTAGGAAGTCTGTGGAGCTGAACAAAGGACGTCCTTTATTGGCTAGTACTGGCCAAAAAGCATCTGAACCTGCTGCCTCCAAACATAGTCAGGGCTTTTCGAAAAGCCCTTCACCAAATGGCATGCCTAAGCGTATTAAAAAAGGACGCGGCTTTACCGAGCGCTATGCTTTTGTACGCAGATATCGTACTCCTTCTCCAGAGCGGTCTCCCCGAACATATCGTTATGGTGATAGAAATATAAGGAGGAACTTTGATAGGCATGTTTAATTTTCTATACCATTTTGCTAAACTGGATTTTTTGAAAAATTGTTGGATATTGTTCTGACTTGTTATATGTGTACTTGAAGAAATACAAGCTACAGAAGTTATTCTGAGCGCTCGCCACCAAGACGATTTCGGAGCCCACCAAGGGGCAGGAGCCGTCCAAGGTTCTTCCTCCCTATCATTTGTTTGAATCTGTTGTGTAGTTAGACCTTATTATTTATCCCTCCCGTGCATAAATTGAGCATTTTTTTTAATGATATCCAACTGGATATTTGCTTTAATCTGTTCACATGCTGTGGCATGATAAATATTTCACATGTGCAATAAACTTCCTTCTAATTTCAACTGCATTTTTTTTGTGTTTTTAGTTGCCTTTGTACTTGTTTCTCTTGTTATTCTTCAATTTATTACATTCTAGTACAATTGATTTATATTGGGGAAAGATCATTTGACATTGGTGTAAGTTACACTCAATTTTAATCACTAATTTCACTTGCATCTGACGATTTACGTGACTACTACATTAGAGCATTTAACACTGGTGTAAGTTACACTCAATCTCTAATTTCACTTGCATCTGACGATTCCCGTGACTAATAAATTAGAGCCTTTAAATGCAAGTAGATTAACAGTTAAAATTAAGTGTAAGAGTTATTACTTTTACTGTATAAGTTGATAATTTCTCATTTATATATATTGATGCCAAATCTTATGCATACCGCATTGTGTTTGTTTCTAAGTGAATTCCATTGTATGAAAAAAAGGTAAAGGAAAATACATACGAGCTTAATTTTATATGCTTATCTGTTTAGATACCAAAGCAGAAGAAGTCGGAGTAGGAGCATCTCCCGCAGTCCAGTGCGTGGCCGGTATAGAGACCGAGGCCGCAGCCAGAGTCCAGTACGCAGTCTTAGTCCTGAAGACAGGCGGCCTCCGATAAGTGACAGATTAAAATCCCGACTTGGTCCTCGAAGTGATGAACAATCTCCAGACAGAGGGAGGTCAAAGTCCAATTCTAGGAGCAATGGCTCTTCTCGCTCCAGATCCCCTGATGCTACACCACCAAAGCGTTTTGATAAAAGGACTTCCGTATCTCGTAGCAGGTCTAGATCGAGCTCTTCATCCGGACAAAAGGGTTTAGTTTCTTATGGAGATGGTAGTCCTGATTCTATTGCGAGGTAGGTATTATGCTGACTGCATAGCAACTCTCAGGTCTTAGAAGGAGCTGAAATTGCTGTGTGTTCTATGACAAGTCTCAACAGGAGTTATGTTGGGCACTATGTGGCTACGTATTTATTTCCATGTCCTTAGTGGAATTCTGTTGTCAAGCCTGAAGTCAGAACCTGTTGAAGTATTGTGCATTAGCTCATAAACAGGTATTCTATCATGTTAGTTCAAGAAATGTTATTGGTACCAAAACTTGAATGGATGCGTCTTAATTTGGAACCGATAGCTCTTATGGACTTAAATTGGCGTGTTCGTGTTTATTGTTTTTCATAATAAATATTTTTGTTGACTGTAATTTTTTTCTTTGGAATTCATCCTTCCCACCCTAAGTGAAGAAAAGCTAAGATAGTCTCGGTTTCGAAGTTCAAATCATATTTAATGTTAGATTTTTTTACGCATTAATGGAATTATCAAAACTATAAGCGGAATTCGCTCAGTGTCAAATCTAATGATTTATATTAAATTCTTATTCTTAGTTGACCTTCCCTTTACAAAATTTTCTAGCGAGCATAGAATCGCGTTGAATTTCTCGTTTGTAAGTTGTAGAGGTAGCACTTTGTCTCCAACCTGCCTTAAAATGATTCATCAAGTCCTGTTTATTTTTGAAGGTGAGTTGGAAATTTCAACCCGGCCATCTCTAACCCACCTCATCATGCCAACTTTATTAAAGTGAATTTTTTTCTAAAAGTATATTTTTCATAGATATAAAAGATATCCAATGAAAATAAAAGAGATGTATAAAAAGTCATTAATTAGTATTTAGAAAAAATAAAAATAAAATAAAAATGAACTTGACCCCGTTATAGGTTGAATCCTCTTAATCCCCTCTTTAACGTGGCGGGTTCAAATAGGTTGGTTGGATACGGCGGATTAAACTTGTCAGTCCGACTGGTTGGACCTGTTTTGGGTTGGACGATGATATTATTTTCCTTGTTGGTCAATCCTTGGACAGGATCCTTAGAAGTTTTCATTGTCTTCACAGATTAAAAAACTTCATGACATCTTTGTTATTTGTTTTGTGTGCCTCAAGAATCCCTACCCAGATTGTACTCATGTATCCAGTCTTTGGAACCCTCTAGCTTCTAGAGGCAGGAGATTTCATTCTTCGTTTGTGTCAATGCCTAGCAACAACTAAAATTGTGAAGGCTTTCCGTGAGATAAGGACAAATGGAACAATAGTTAAAAGTCTTGTATCTATTCCGTGTTATAGGGAGTTTAGCAATGAAAAGCCATCAAATTAATGGGAAAAGAGATCAAAATTAACAGAAATAATAAGCATTTGAATGAAAATCCTCTCAGGGAAATCTCCAAATCAAATTACCAACTAGCAAATGATAGTTGAAATGACGATTTTTCAGGTGACGGCGAACATTATAATTTTGGAAAATACACTGTTTTTCACAATTCATCTTTTCAGATGTGTGAGTGGTGAGAACTGAACTCACAATAAAAATTAGTACTTCATTGCACGTTCCTGAAGTGCTAACTCATCCTGGTAATAGAATCTTTTACGTGACAACCTGAAGGGAGACACAAAGACATAAGATTTTACAAATTTAGAGAAAAATTTACCTATTTTGTATTAATCCAATTGTTAACGTGATCTATCATATGAAAATTTCGATTGAGAAAATCAATTCATCTTGTGCTTGGCGGTGCTAGCAACGGGTGGTAGCTCAAATTCTGATTAACCCTTTATATACTCATCATGTCTTCTAAATCAGAGCTTTTGTTAGTAGAATTTTGCCCCTTATACGCTTTCAACACGAGTGATATTTTGGACCTCACCCGCTACGCATCTCAATTTTTATTCGAATTTTATTTGAACAGGCAAAAACATTTTATTAATTATTCATGAGGTGTCCAACTTGAGAGGGTACTAAACATAAACAATATGATGCTCAGGGAACCGAAAGGCACCTTTTCTGATTCTTTGTCTATCTTTTTCTCGAGAGGAAAAAAAAAGAAAGATCTCTTATCAATTATTTCTTTTTAAATTTATTATTATTAACATGATTTTGAACTTTACTTACTAATCACATCTTATCAGCGACCGACTCTGAACTCTGGAAGCAAATGTTTCCCATAGTTATAAAGCTTATACTAGTAAATCCAGTGCCCTGAATACTCTTTCTAAACACAGGATTTTGGTTTTTAGAAAAAAAAAAAAATTTTTTTTTTTTTGTTTTTAAAATTAAATTTAAAAAACACGTCTGATTATTTTTGTTTTATATTTTAATTTTTAACTTTTAAAACAAAAAATACAGAAAACATTTATTTGTATAACTATTTTACAAAACAATTTTAAAGAAAAAAAAACCCACAAGTATTTTTCATTTTCTTTTCCTTCGAACAGTCACAGTACAAATGTTTATGGGTTTTATGTTTATCATGTAACATGATATAACATCACTTTTCTACACATACATTAAAGAGGTGGGGTCCATATATTTTTCTTTCTCTTTCATCATTCTACTTTCTCTCTTCATTTTTGTGTGTGTGTTGAAGACAACACTTAAATCATATAACATAACATTAATAAAACCCAATGTTTATATGTCAAGAAAACTACATGAATCGAAATTTAGATAAGTGAGTCCTTTTTACTTCTCAAAGCACATTTGCTATCGACTCGACTTGAAACGGAAACAAAAATACAATGTGCAAACAATCGCGATCTTATTACACAAAAAGTTGATTTTAACATTAGAAATCTTTTGTAATTTATATTAAGGGTTTCTCACTTCTGTGACAATAACAGATGAGAAATTTTCTAGCAAATATATTTATATTAGGATCCGCATATGAATTTTGGCGTGAATCTTGACTTTTTATATGTTCCAAAAAAGTTTATTTGAATCAAGTACCGACACTTCAAAAACTTTCACGTGTCATGTCCGACACTTCTGACACTTCTACGCGCATTGTAAAAATTAAAAAAAATATTCAAAGGTTGCGTTGCGTTCATTTTTAGTTCTAACTATTATATTCGTTGGATTACTATTATCATTTTATTGAATTTAATATAAATATTTATGATATCTTATATTTTTTTGTAAAATTAATGGGTATTATAAGTGGGTTCACTTTTTCTGTAGTTACTGCAGATAATTATCTACAGTAAGCCCAATACGACGTCGTTTTGGGCGGAAATTTAGGTATTTTTGTAATTTTAATTTATTTCAGGATTATAATAGTTTTTATATTTATAATTTTTTAAGATTTCAATACCAAAACGACATCGTTTTGGAGATAAATGCAAATAACTTATCTGCATTAACTGCAGAAACATTTTTCCCATTATAAATTTAACTTTATTTTTTTTGTTAAAGTATTGAATATTAAATATAATATACGCAATATAAATTAAAAATATTATTTAATATCAAAATGTCTCCTAACATATTAAACCATATGAGTGGTTATATTTACCACTCAAATAGTTTGGCTTTTTGACCCTTTTGCCCCTCATTAATTAATTAATAACCAATTTGCCCCTGATCAAGAACTATCCACCAACCTGCCCCCTTTTAGTCGACTACCTTGCTGTTTTAGTCGAGCAAATGGTCAATCTTCAGAAAGTGGACTACCGCAAATTTAGTCGACTAAAAAATCATCTTAATCGACTACATTTTTGGGATACTTAGTCGACTAAGTAACGATATTGAGTCGACTAAATGTCGACTGAAACCCTATATTTTCCATGTTTTCGGTCTCATTTCGATTGTTGTTGTTGTGTAAACCTAAATAGCTCCCTTTGTTCATGTGTAATCCTCTCAATCCGATTGTATTTCATCCCACCATCTCTACAGACCTAATATTGTGAAATCATTGTCATTGCCCAATTCCAAACCCCAAAATCCGAACCCAAACCCCAAATTTCAGAACCCAAGTCCCAATTTCGTGAGGAAGATGAGCACAAGTCCAAACATGTATGTGACAATGATCTACTATGATGGAAAGCATTATGAAGGCCCCAATGGTGTTCAATTTGAAGGAAAAACGAAAATGTTGGAAATCAAACGGGGCACTACATACAATGAGTTAAAGGAGAGAATTCAGCAAAAATTGGGTCTGCAAGGCAGCCAATGCGTTCAACGGATGATTGCCAGGGTAGAGACAACAGTTGGTAAGGATGCTATTTACTACATTGGTAACGATATATGTGATGATGAAGATGTCGAATGTGTCATAGATGCAATTGTTGACCGAAAATTTCAAAATTTTATTGAGATATATGTTGAATTAGATTGTGGTCAATCTTCATCTGCACCCATGCATACAAGAAGTGAACCGTATTTTGGTCATGAAGAAAGAGTAGTCGATTTATCTGCACCTGCACATGTCATAAGTCAGATAACACTGCGGGAAATAGATGAGGATGAACAGGATGCCGATATGGACAACGATGAGGACGGTGAACCTGAGAGTGTTATTCCGCTAGGTGACACGTCAGATACTGACGTAGAAGGTGATTTCGACGCTGACACAAGCTCACCATCCCCGGGTTCGCAGGTTATGAGACCACTTCGTGTTGACCCTGTTAGCAGTGGTAAGATTTGTTTTTTAAAGATTTAATTTAGCAATTATTTTTTTTGTTATGAATGGTATTGACGGTGGCATTATAATGCATCCGTAGGTTCTGAGGTCGAGCCATTTTGGAATGAAAGCTCACATTATACCTTCATTAATTGAGCCCACCCTAATGATGAGACAGAGATATTGTATGGTGACGATGATGATCACGGTGGCTGGCAATCAGGGGATCCTTTATATTTGTATCAGGAGTTTCGTAGCAAATCTGAAATGCAACATGCAGTCAAATTATATTGTATGAAGGCTCACCGTACTGCCGTTGTGGCAAAAAGTGATGACCATAGATTTGTGATGAAGTGTCGACACCATAATGATGGATGTCCCTGGTATGTGAGGGCATTGTTGCCGAAGAATGGAAATACTTGGGTGGTTAGTAAATGGGTTAAAGAACACACCTGCCTAAACCAAGGTCTTACTCGGGATCATAGACAGTTGGATTCTGATGTGATATGTGCAACCATTATCAGTATGTATTATTCGATATATCTAACTTCCTAAGGTATGTTTACGTTAATCAGTTTGTATTCTGACTGTTGGCCGGTGTTTTTTTTTATATAGGTATGTTAGGGTTACAAAACCTACAACAAACGCTTTGATTAGAGTTCACAAATTTGGACAACAAACAAATACAAAAAATTCCTAAACCTAAAACACAATGCAAGTTAAGAAACCTTACCTATCCTTCAGATTTCACGATTTGGACCAAATTTGGGGGCAATCCACACGCCTAAGGGAAGGGTTTGGGGCGTTCTTCAGCTGCTCCTGCGGATTTGGGGTTTGGGCCGCCTCCTTAGTCGATTAGGTCATCCTACTCCCCCTCTGCCGAATGGGGGGTTTTTAAAAAACAAATCCGTCGATATTTAATCGACTAAATATCGTTACTTAGTCGACTAAATATCCCAAAAATGTAGTCGATTAAGATGATTTTTTAGTCGACTAAATTTGCGGTAGTCCACTTTCTGAAGATTAACCCTTTGCTCGACTAAAACAGCAAGGTAGTCGACTAAAAGAGGCAGGTTGGTGGATAGTTCTTGATCAGGGGCAAATTGGTTATTAATTAATTAATGAGGGGCAAAAGGGTCAAAAAGCCCAAATAGTTTACAAACTCTTACAACTATATCTTAACCGTTAATTTTCGTCAATCAACGATTGTCATTTATTGTGAATTAATAAATTTGATTTGCGAAAATCTTAACCGTTGATTGCCGAAAATCAACGGTTAAGATATGATTGTAAGAAGTTGTAAACTATTTGAGTTGTAAATATAACATGCCTCTTAAAACATAATATATTTTAAAATTAATAAATTGAAGTGTCGCGTCGTGTCACATATCCTATGTCAGCCTCAGGTGCCACCTAATATGAAGTAACATAAAAAGTATATAACATTATCTTAAACTGCAAACAATCGCGATCATTTAGCTGTTTGAATTTTTATTTTATTTTCGTTTTTCAACTACCTGTGCCTTTAATTATATACCAATAAGACTATAAGAGTACCCAAAAAAAAATAAAAAATTATATACCAATCCATGTATGTAATTTAAACAAAAGTAAATGTCATAAATACTCTCTCTCTTTACCATAAGGAAGCGCCCCTCTGCTACCGTTTTATTATTGAATGCAATGGCAACTATTTACGAAAGTAAAGGAAAATAAAATAAGAACGTAACCTCCATAAAAAAAAAAAAAAAAACAAAAAGAAGAAGAAGAAAATAAAAAAGGAGGTGACTTTTTGATGTGCACACAATTTGAGTTTTGAGAGGTGCGAAAATTTTCAAAGAAATACGAATAATAGAAAAAGGGCAAGGAAGGTGTAAGGTCATAGGACTGAGAGTGAAGAAAGTTTTATTTGTTGTTTATGTTGAAGATGGAGTTTTTAAGGTTGTAGGGAGTGTGTTATGAATTGGTGTTGTCGTGTCTTACTGCTTCTGTGTTTAGATCTATCATCATCATCTTCAACTTCAAACACAAAGAGGGGATTCGATTTTGGTGCATGAGTCTCCGCTACTATGCTCATGGCGTCTGAAACGGCGTCGTCGGTGGATGAAGAACCCTTTTCTTCTCTACAATCATTGCCAGGTAAGCATCGGGTTGTTGCAGAATTGAAGCGACTCGACCAAGACTCCAAATTTCTTGAGGTTCACCTTCTCCTCTTTCCTTCTATCAAACTTCTTACGCTTTCTCCATTATTAGTTTTATTTTTATAGAATTTGCTCCCTTCAATTTAATTTATGGGAATTTCCCACTCTCATTGTAAATATGTTTAATTTACCTGAGACTTTTGTTTGTTGCGTGAAGTTGGAGCCCCCCCAATTTTGATCTGGTTACTGGGTTGGCTTATGCTTTCCTCAAGTTGAGAAAAAATTTAATTTTTATGCACAATGCTCGTATTATATCCTATTAGACATGGAAGGTTCATTCATTCCAAAATACTTCTAAGTTGAAATATATTTAGAAGTACCATGTCCATTTTAATTATTTCTAAGTTTAATCTGAGCAATTACTTGAAATTTCACCTACCTCTTTCTTCGTTTTCTTGTTAGTTGAGAAAAGAAGAAAAAGAAAAGCAAAAGGAGGAGAAAATTTGAAAAGTGATATGTTATGTGTCTGCCTTCGGATTTCCTGGCAAAATTCCATGTGATTCTCAGCTGTTAAGTTCCCAACAATTTTTTTTTTGTGTGTGATGGATTCTTTTTTTTTTTTGGATAAACCATAGGTATCCTCCACGTAAGGCAATCTTGTTTGAGCAGGGACTAGTTCTCTCAAAGAGAATTTTTTCCATTCATAAGGACTTGAATCTAAGACCTTGCTTAAACAGAAGCAAACATATACCACTTGAGTCAACCCCCTTTGGTTGGATGGATCATTTCATTTGTTATTTAACATAACCATGTCATATGTGAGAATCCTAATAATTCATGGACAAATCAATTGTGAAAGATGAGAGAGAAAAAAAAATGTTGGGATAAAAAGTTACAGATTATCACCATTGATTTCTCCACGGTGATAGACGTGTATACTTGAACATCGGTTATGATACACTGCCTCGCTTTTCTAATTGTGTAAGTCAATGTTAGGTGTTTTTACCACTTGAGTGTTTTACAAATTGAGTGTCTTTCTTACTTCTGTGTTAAGAACCTTGAGGTCACCACCCCAAAAGCTAGCTCAAAGGGTGAGAGTGCCCAAGGCCTTATAAAGGCTATATTAGTTGTCAATCCAATCAATGTGGGACTATATATCTCAACACGCTCCCTCGCGCAAGAGCCTTTTTGTGCTTTTTTATTTATTTAATTCATGTCCTGATTCAAACAATCTCTTTTCTTGAATACTATGCAGGAAGAATTGAAAGAGCTTGAGAAATCAGAAAATATGTCAGCCATATGCACGGAGTTAGTACCAAACATTTTTTTTTCCTTCTCTTCTATGTGAAAGAAAAATAAGAAAATCCTGATAAATTTTTCATAGGAGGATTTTAAATTGACTGATTTCCAACATCTGAGATAGATGAATTCTTGTTGAGTCGTATGAATTTCTCAATCTATGTATCCATTGTTAACTTGGGGGTTGAATGTTACTTTGAAGCATGGTTTTCTTAACATGTGTGACAATATAATTAATTATATGCCTTAAGAAGTTTTTCTTATTAGTTGTCTGCAACAATATGATTATATGGCTTAAACAATTTCGCTTGACAAACTGCAGTTTGCTGCAAAACATGGAAAGTAGGCCCGATCCACTGCTTCCTGTGTAAGTTCTATTACCTACATCTTTGTATTGTATCGTCATTGTACTTGTAACGCATATTCATTAGTTTTCTCTAATAACAGAATACGTGGACCTGTAAACATGTTATGGGATAGATGGTTTGAAGGGCCTCAGGATCCACACGCTTGTGGATGTTGGATACTTTGATTTGAAGCACGCAAACTAAGTTGTCTAGCGTTACAATAGCATGCCACACTTACTGCATAGGAGTGATTCTGGAACGCGGAGAAATGTTGGATGGCATTTTATACCAGTTACAATAATTCTTTAATGGTTCCCTTGTTTATTACATACAAGATGTTGCTTTGAATACAGTGTTTGTAAAATCACATTCATTTACTGCATCCAATTGAGAATATCGTTATTTTGTGCTTATACCAGGGTACATATACATTCAGAAGCTAACTGAGAATGCCTTTGATGATAAGCAAATTTGTCAATATGAACTTTGTAATCCCCTCCTTAAAGCTTTAGTGGGTCATTTATCAAACCTAGTCATTTTTGGATTTTTGTCTTTAAAATTCCTTTTGTCTTGGACAGATACTATCAGTCCTAATCATGATGAAATCTTTTTTTTTTATACTGTGTTACCTTTAAGGGCAATGGGAAGGGAAAATGAAACTGACAAGAGTAAACAAATCATAAGAGGGAGCTAATATTGCAAGCCTTTTTACCTTAAGGAGAATGTCCTTTTCTTAATCTATTGATCTAGGAGACACCCTGTACTCTTTCTTAATGGGACTGAATCCACAAGATTTGAAGGCTTGCAGCTCAACCTATTCTGACATGCACGAATCACCACACTGCTCATTGCAGTGTTCGGGGCCTTGGTTGGAATATTATAGCAATGAAGCCAATGTGTGTACATGTAGCAGCAACAAGCTATGATGGTAGCGTGGCATCATATGATGGAGATGGACTTTCAGGCCAGTAATGGGGCAGGCATGTGTATGATAGTGAGATTAATAAATGCCTCTGATCGAAACAATGGACAGAGATTTTCATTAGAGTAGATAGATTAACAAACTTGGGTTTATTTGTTCCGATTTGTTATAGTTATTTGAAATCTAAATTCTAACACGGTAAGATCAATCTGAAGTGATTTTGATACTAATAAAAGTTAAATGGGATACATGTTTGGGTAAGGTTTTAAGTTTATAAAATAGAAGATCGAGTGACAAATTTAACAATAATTGTCAGGATGCAAACACAGCAAAAGAAAGAACGTGGGTCAAAGTTTTCTAGTCATTCGTCATTGGAACTAAACTATTGCTAGCTTCATCTCGATTCTCTAGTCTTCAGAGTTTGCCTATATATCAGTAAGCAAGGCTGGCAAATGAATAAAGTTGTAGTGGCCGACATGCCCGCCACATACTCAGCATTCTAAAACCCATAAAAATCCAAACCTTTTTCCTCTGTAATCTATACCTACATGGATTAGTTGGAGTCTTTGTTTAGAAAGCACGTATTAATTTAAGCTTAAACGCACCACTAACTGATTATATTATCATATACTTTTTTATTTTATTTTCTATGTTAAATTGTGATAGTAAAATAACATAAAAGGAATATTAATTTAGAGTGATAAAATTGATGTCACAAGATCTCAATGCTTAGAGAAACAAATTCTTATGCAGAGATAAATTGGTGCCACTTGCGAGCACATTTAGCAGTGAAGCTCGGCCCCAAGGTGTGCAAGTGGCACAATTGTAAGAGATGTGGAGATTATGATGCATCCCATATTCTGTACCTCCCACTCACATTCTCTGTCTCGATATTGATGCTTATGGAGCTCCTGCCACTAACCCAATGAGCCTTATTACCGAGACAAGTACTGCTTTGAAATTTGCTCCGGTGAACACTCTGATGATAGGACATTCTCAAATTCACAATGGGAATGACCGAATAAATCTTATGGACATCTCTTTCACCTATATTCAGTGCATTTCATTAATGAAAGTATTATACATCGGAAAAAGATAAAATCTGGTACTCAACCTTGTGATTCTCATTAATTAATAACGTATAAATAGGTTTACAAGGAAACAGAAAATATTAACAAACTAACAGATGGATCCTATAATCTGATACAACACACGCGTAACAAACTCTTAGAAGCGAACAAACTAAACAACCGTGTATTAAGCTAAAACAGAATCTGATATATCTTATCTACAACAAACTAAGATCCTAACAATGAGTGATATTCTCCAACACTCCCCCTCAAGTTGGAGCATGCAAGAATGAAATGCCCAACTTGGGAAGAAAGGCCAGAAAATCCGCTTGACCTAGTGCCTTGGTGAACAGATCTGCAAGCTGAGCTTTGGAGCGAACATGAGCAGTAACAACGTTGTTGGAGAGAATGTGATCACGCACAAAGTGACAATCCAGCTCAATGTGTTTAGTGCGTTCATGAAACACCGGATTAGCAGCGATGTGAAGGGCTGCTTGATTATCGCAAAACAACTCCATTGGGCGTGTATGAAGCACACCAAGGGAAGAAAGAAATCCTTTTAGCCAAACCAACTCAGCTACAGCTGCCGCCATAGCCCGATACTCAGCCTCCGCAGAAGAACGGGACACCGTGACTTGTTTCTTCGTCCTCCAAGAAATTGGTGATGTGCCCAGCATGACAAAAAATCCTGTGGTGGACCTGCGAGTAAGAGGACAAGAAGCCCAATCCGAATCACAATAGGCATGCAGCTGAAGATCACAATCAGACTCTAAAAGAAGTCCTTGTCCTGGGTTGCGTTTAATATACTTGAGAACACGCATGGCTGACTCTAAATGAGCTTGTTTCGGTTGTTGCATAAACTGGGATAAAGTATGAACAGCATAACTCAAATCAGGCCGTGTTATCGTTAAATAGATCAATCTGCCAACAATGCGTCGATATCTCTCTGGATCCACAAGAACTGGACTGTCCACAAGTGCCAAACGGTGATTTTGCTCAATTGGTGAATTAGCAGGCTTACTTCCACTGAGTCCGGATTCATGGAGAATATCAAGGGCATACTTTCTTTGGCACAAGAAAATACCTTCCTTACTACGAGCAACCTCAATGCCCAAAAAATATTTCAAATGACCGAGGTCCTTAATTTTGAAACACTGGTTCAAATATTCCTTCACCTCCGTGCAGGCATGAGAATTATTACCTCCCAAAACTATATCATCAACATAAACTAAAAGAACTAAAAATATATCACCTTTCTTCAAAGTAAAGAGGGTGTAGTCTGCATGCGATTGAATAAAACCATAGGCCTTCAGCGAGGTGCTCAATTTGGAAAACCAATTTCGCGGGGATTGCTTTAAGCCATATAAGGATTTACGGAGTTTACAGACTTTGTTAGTCATACCATTACTGAACCCGGGTGGAAATTTCATGTATACCTCTTCACTAAGATCACCGTTTAAGAAAGCGTTATGGACGTCCAACTGATGCAACTCCCAGTTCCTTGCTGCGGCTACGGCAAGAAATGTCCGGACGCTGACCATCTTTGCCACAGGAGCGAATGTTTCTGTGTAATCTTCACCAGCAACTTGGTGATTGCCTGCTATTACCAAACGAGCCTTGTACCTTTCGATCGTCCCATCGGAATTGTATTTTATCTTGAATACCCATTTACTGGGAAGTGCCTTTCGTTGAGGGGGTAAGTCAGTTATACTCCAGGTGTTATTGTCCTCTAAGGCAGTAATCTCCTTGCGCATAGCATCCACCCAGCGAGGATCATGGACAGCTTCTTTATAACTGCTTGGTTCAACTCCTGTATCAAGGGCTGCAGCAAAAGCTCGATGTGGAGGGGAGAATTTAGAAAAACTAAGAAAGTGAGTCATAGGATACCGGGTACAAGAAGAAGACGCAGCATGGGTGTTGGCCGTGGGTAGTTTATGTGTTGCAGCCTTATTGCACTGGTAATCTTGCAGATAAGCAGGTGCTTTAGTAGCTCGACGCTCTCGGTGCTGTAGAGTGGGAAGAGACTCAGTAGCGGTGTTCCCTCTATCCAGGCACGACTGGGATGATCGATGACACTGGTCTTCAGCAGCAACAGGTTCAACGGTGCTCCCCCTATCCTGGCACGTCGGGGAATGTTCCTCAATATCAGCAAGTGGTGTGTCCGTCACACTTTCTGCTGGGGCAAGGTCATCAAGACATGGCAACTGTGAGGGCAAGCATGGTGCAGTCTGGTTGCTACTGTCGTGGTCAACAGGATGTTGAAAAGGAAATTCTTGCTCATAGAACCTGACATCGCGGCTTACAAAATATTCTTTAGTATCAAGATCAAATAACTTCCAACCCTTTTGCCCCATAGGGTACCCAACAAAAATGCACCTACGGGAACGTGAAGCAAACTTATCACTGGGCTTTGGGCGCATAGTAGCATAACATAAACAACCAAAAATGCGCAAATAATCATAGTTTATTTTAACACCAAACAGTATTTCATGAGGGCTCTTCCCATCCAAAACCCGAGTTGGTGTTCTATTAATTAAGTGAACTGCGGTCAAGACACTGTCTTCCCAAAAATGAACAGGTAACGAAGCTTGAAACAATAAGGCTCTTGAAACATTAAGAATGTGCCGATGTTTTCTTTCGACACGGCCATTTTGCTCAGGTGTATAGATGCAAGATGTCTGGTGTTGTATACCCATATTAACAAAAATTTGTTGCAAGGAATGAGATTTAAATTCTGTCCCATTGTCAGATCGGATTGTCTTAACTATTTTGCCAAAATGTGTTTTTACCATGGAAAGAAATTTAATGATACGGTTACTGGTTTCATTCTTTTCGGCCATCATATAGACCCAAATTGCTCTACTAAAATCATCAACAATAGTCAAAAAATAATGAGAACCAGAAGTAGAAGGTGCTTTATAAGGTCCCCATGTATCACAATGCACAAGATCAAAACACTCGTTACTACGAGAAACGCTTAAAGGAAACATGGATCGAGTGTGCTTCGCACGAAGACAAACATCACATGATTTATTAATGACTCCCTTGCCAGGAAAACGGGAAACACAAGGAATTAAAGAAACTATGTCATAAGAAGGATGACCAAGCCGCTGATGCCACAAGTCAAGGCTATCTGGTGATTGAACAGCAAACGCAGAAACAACTTTAGGCTGAAACACATAAACACCTTGGCGGAGTTCACCCAAACCAATCTCCTTCTTCAGTACCTGGTCCTGCAAAATACATTCTTTCTCAGTAAACATCAGTTTGTAATCACCATGTCGTAACAGTTGCGAGACAGATATGAGATTGCAACACAAATGAGGGACATATAAAACGTGGTGCAATGTGAAGGATTTATTGATCACCACCGTTCCTGTCTTTTCTGCATACGTTATGGATCCATTCGGTAAGCTTACTGCCAAACGTGGGACTGGAGTGACATTGATCAATGCATCTAAGGAACCTGTCATATGCTGGGATGCGCCACTATCAATAAGCCATTG